AATCCTGATTTTGATAATAAAATTAATCTAAATAAGAAATAATCTACAATAACATTTTACTTTCTTTTTCAACATGATTTTCGTCGTTTCTTTTTTCTTTTCTATTTTGTGTATGTGTATTCCGTGCGATCTACTGTGTATATAAGGCGGAAAAAATCCGTTGTATTTTTACGAAATTGAATTTGAATCGAACAAAAAATAGAATAACCTTTTCTCTGTTGCTCTATGACTAGATGTACTTCTGTCGTAAATTTAATGGTTCCCTCGGTCAATATTTGTACACACTTTTCATCAAACGGTATCTCAAAAACAAACAAAAAAAACTTTTCATTGGGGAATTTGGTAAATTGTGGATCGAGTGTCCCATCTCACACAAAAAAGAAGGACATCCACACCATCTTAAACAGATCACCATGCCAATGTTGAAGTATTGACAAATATACATGTATACTGACGAAGTATATACAAATTGAAGTATCGTCAAATAAATCGGACGACTCGGACATAGTAAAATAGGGAAAAAATATTTTTCCGTGCAAAATTTTGTAAATATATTTACAATATTTATTTCTAATTATTCATTGTGAAACCATCAAAATGTATGCCTTATCAGAGCAGAAAACGTCAAAAAATGAAAAGTGCGTTAAGTATATGGCCTTGCGTTAAAATGCGTGACTGCGGGTAAGAGGGTTAACCTTTATTCGACCGATAAAGTTCATTATTTCATATTGTACATGCAACAATATCCATTAAACTTTATAGAAACTTTCTTTTGATGTCTCGACCACAGTATCCCTAACTTGTGTCGAGCTGAGGTCCATTTTTGAAGTTTGAATAAGCGAAATCGGAGATTCCTAGTGACTGGAAGGTCATGAGAAAGGAGCTGAACACAAGTGTACAGTCATGTACTTCTTATTCTAAATTTCATGTTCTTTAAAATGTAAAATATTCCCGAAATATAAAACGCTGTCGTTACTTTTGAGACATACAAGGGAATGGATTACTGTGCATTTTGAACCTCGCGTAAAATAAGTTTAGAAAAAAATTACCAAGTCGATCGTTTATACGGTCTTGTCCTACTACAGTGTAACACTTAACCGGAATTCGCCTAAGTCTGCCTGGACTCTAGGCGGAAAACTGTTAAAAATTTCGTACGGGTATATCCCCCCCCCCCCCGCTTTTCTTTACAGTGGAAATCAAGCTGCTCAGTGTAGACAACTTCCCTGAAGAAAATCCAGTATCTATCAAGCTTTATCCATGGTAAGGGACTTGCATATGAAGGATTTTTTCTTTCGACTTTTTGCCTGCCGTTAGTGTATAATAAATAGCCAACATGTACCTGTTTTGTTTTTTGAATAAGAATAAATAAGGCTTTATATGCACTAAAAATATGTGACACATTGTTACATGTATGTTTCTCTTGCTTGATTATACCACAGGACTTTTTGCTTAAATTAATTTATTTTGATAATATAATTTACGTGTAAATGACCTATTTAATTCAGCTATACGAGACCTCAATTTCGAATTTACAATGGACGGAGGGGTGCACGTGGGGGTCCATAAATATTTTATGCACCTTCATTATTATAACAGTAACTGATCCGAACTGATCTGATATTGTCCAGATGACAGGCACGGATCATTAAAAAAAATCAAACTTGACGCGAAGCGTTAAGTTTGATGCATTCAAGATAATTTCTACGTAGAGCTATACAGTCTTGAATAATACGCTAGCCGATACGTAGAGAAAGCTATCATTTCATACAAGATACCAAATTCAATATGGTAACCTCCTTAATTATTGATTTGTATAAATTGGGAAACTAGCAGAAAGCGGGGCTTATTTCTACATCCTAGCAAATCAAACGTAAATTTATGAATACAAGTTATTGCTTGATTTCAGCTCATTGTTCCAAAAATTAGCTATTACCATACAACTCAACCATTGAATAACTGGACTTAAATATATCTCGGAATGATACGAATTTTCGATCAGAAAAGTGTAGTTTTAATTAAGGTAGAGTGGGTCCTTGCCCAATGTTCTTGTTAAGCAATATATATATAAACTTTCAAAAGAATGGAGAGAAGACCCACTTATGTCCATTAGAATAATTGTCTTACACATTCAGTGTAAAGAAATGATCCTTTTTGCCCTTTTTGTGTGCGTACTATTTCAAAGACTAATTATTTTTTACACTTATGAGATTTTTGTAAATTTTGGAGATTTTACATTAATGCTAACTGAAATACGTAAGATAATTGTGTTATAATTGAAATTTGATTTATCACTTTCTTATTGGTCGAACCATAGGCATTTTTCTCGGCTTGTTCACCCATATTCTATCAGTCTTAGATGCATGTGAGTTTTAATTATAAAAGCTGTAGGCCTATATGAGAAAAATAAAGAACTAGGCCCTAAATAAAATTTGAATAAAACTATAAATGCCTTTGTTAAGAAAGTTAAAGTTAAATATTCTGATGAAAGAAAAAATGATTAATGCGATTTTGCTTTAACTTTTGTACACCTCTTTATTTGCGTCTATATAAATAATGAATGGTATTTGAATGAAATCAGACGTGATCACTAGGAGGTTACGAAGTGTATATGCATTCAGAAAATAAAACTATAAAGATGTGTCGATATTGCACCTAAAAGGAAAGGGGGAGGGGGTATGTTAAAAGTAAGGTGTGTACATAACAACCAACAGTTGTGGGGAAAATCAAAGCTGAATTGAAAGTTAGGTGTAATTTAAAGGTCAAGAAAAGGTCAAAGATCAAGGTCACATACTAACATCAATGCCATCGGCATATCAGTTGTTTTATAATCAAAAGTCAAGCCTCGGATTTTCATCTCTGGTGCTTCATGTTTTTACCCAGGCTCGTTTTTCAAAGTGGGTGGGTGGGGGCAATCAGGGAAAAAATTTTGATCACCTGAAAAACTTGACTATCAAAAAAGGTTCCAATTTTTTCACAACCAAAGAGCCATGGCTGCCTTGTCGACGACATGGTCGACTTCAGGGGTGCTGATGGAAACTTCTAGCAGCATAGTCAAACTTATCAGTACAATTAAGGCTACATGTATCCAAACCGAAGGTGTCGATGCAGACCTCGAGGTGGCCAGATCTACAAGAGAGCAGGGCATAGTAACACTCCCCTCAACCCCCCCCCCCCCCCCCCGCTGCAAAAGGAAATCACCTGTTTCTATATACCATTTCAATTCAAGATCAGCCTATGTAATATCATTTGTGGACGAATGTTATATTTTCATAAGTTCAAATATGTCATAAAACAGTCATTTTACATGTACATTACTTTAATTTCGAGACAAAAGAATTAAAAATCAGTAAAAATAAAACAAGTACCAATGAATTTGCATTTAATGAAATGGTTTAGAATTGTTTTAGATACATGTAATTTCAAAGTATAACGTGTGTATTATTAAAACTTTCTGAAATTATGTTCATTAAAAAAACATAATAAAGAAAACGTAGAAAAGATACATAAAAAAATTAAAAAGGTATAAATGGAAAATGTGGGGCTCGAACTCGGAATCACCACCTTTGCCGGGTACATAACAGCAATCATACCATTGCACCACGAAATCACTGATGTCGAATAGATTTATAGATTTAAACAGATTGTTAACTCGTAAGGTAATATGAAAAGAAAAATTGAATATTCATTTTCATCATTTTCAATGTTAAGACCACCTTTAACCAAAACTATCTAAATGTAATGAAGTGCAGTGAATGTCATATCCGAATAAAATTATTCAACTGTTGTTGTTGTTGTTTTTTTTTTTTTGTTTGTTTTTTTTTTTTTGGTTAAGGGTGGTACAGTGTATTTGGTAACAGTTTGTCATCGTTTAAGTATAGATATACTTCAGTATTTCCCATGTACTCCATATAAACTCAATGATTTTCATATTTATCATACAACGGAATTATTGTCTGACGTCATGACGTCAGACAGTACTAGATTTAGCCAAGGCTTGTTGGTCAAGTCATCCAATAGAATTCTTGTGATAACTCGATCTTGGAAACTTCATACTACATTAACTATCAATTGGAGAGCATGAGTAGTAATGGAAACATGCTAAACACCCAAATAAGCCAGAGCATTGGAGCTGATGTCATTATATTACAGGTTACATAACATTTGGTGTGCTACAACAAGTCTGCTTAGTCTTGCAAATTTATTGTGCCTCCTCCTGAGAGGGTGAAATACTGAAAACAAATAACAAAGATACATAAGTATGAATTCCCATGAAAATACAACTGAATGACAGCTATGAACCATATTCAATCCTAACATGCCAATCCAAATTTTACACTATACCAAAATTAAAAAATAGATGAAAATGAAGGTTTTACACATTAGCAAACAGTAGTTTTAAATCTAACAATCTAGCTTAACAACATATCAATGCAAACACACCTGATATTATGCACACGGTAAGTATCAATGAAATTAATCAAAGATTTGATACGCAAAATGTAATGGACATATCCATGTTTTATACTTGGCCTGAGCCAATCATCAACACGTGTATAGAGTAATAAGTAAATATGCACAAAATCTGACTTAAAAACTCTATAAAACCAATAAGATACATCATGAACAGTGTGATTAACATTAAGCAATAGATAAAACTCACTCTATGGCTCTTCATAGCTCGGAAAACTGAAAAACATACAAGGTGTCGTTTACCGGGAAATGCATAAATTCTAAACTAAGAAACCAACAATTGTGAACAAGCAAAATAGAAAAATCCGGAATTACAATTCCATCACACTCCCCTACTGATTTCTATCAGAAATCATCAAATAAATGAAATGAACATTAGGTGACGCACATAAGGGTGTATCGTCAACAATATAAGATTCAGTTAAAAGGCTACATGGACTTATGAATATACTGCATATTACATCTAAATGTACATGGCTTACAGTTTATATTCATCAATTAAGCTGTAATAATTACAGTTTGAGACAACTCTAAATCACTTCGACCAGTCTTACTAGCTGGCACACTGGGCGCACATAGGACACTTTGGAGTCATTGCGAACCACAGTCACCTTCACCTTACGAGTCTTGGAATCTTTGCTGTGATATGTTTCCTCCACCACTCCTAATGGCCACTGACTTCTGTGGGATTCTTCATCTTTAACAAGAACAACATCTCCTTCTTTAAATTGTTCACCTTCACTGAACCACTTTGCACGTTTCTGTAATGCATTCAGATATTCTGCCTTCCATCTTGACCAGAATTCATCAGCTAAGTGTTGGACTAACTTCCACTGGCTGCGCAGAGCATCCTTGTTCCCAAACTTGGGTAATTGAAATGTGATGTCTGGTCGTTTCTGTGTCAGCAACAATGATGGTGAAAGGACAGCTGGTGCCTCAGGATCTGAGGAGACTGGAACAAGTGGTCTACTGTTCACAATGGCACAGGCTTCCGCCATGAAGGTTGACAAAACTTCATGTGTCAAGTCAAAGGATTTGTTCTCTAGGAGAAGAGCATCCAAAATGCGTCGAACCGACCCAATCATCCTTTCCCATACACCCCCGAAGTGGGATGCATGGGGAGGATTAAACACCCATGCTATTTTACTTTCAGTCAGGTAATCCTTTACTGGTCCAGTTTCGACAAACTCTGCATCAATGTTGAGTTCTTTAACAGCCCCTATAAAATTTGTCCCTCGATCAGACCGAATCTGCTGGACGGGACCTCGTAACGCTATGAATCTACGCGTGCAATTAATGAATGAGGCTGAACTGATCTCCTCTACAAGTTCCACATGAACTCCACGAGACACTAAACAGGTAAATAACACACCCCATCTCTTTGAATTAGCTGAACCGCCCCGTGTTCTCCTTGTTACAACTGACCAGGGTCCAAAGACGTCTAAACCAACAAATGTGAATGGCGGAGCTTCTTGCAGTCGATCCTCTGGTAAGTCTGCCATCTGAACCCATCCAAACTTCCCACGAAGTTTTCTACAAGTAATGCAGTGGTGGATCTCAGATGAAATCATGCGCTTTCCGTTGACAATCCAATAACCAAAAGATCGTATAACCCCTTCTGTCATTTGCCTGCCCTGGTGGTGTATCTTGGAGTGATAATGACGTATTATCAGAACAGCAACATGATGGTTCTTTGGAATTATAATGGGATGGGCTGTATGCTGATCACCACCCGGCTTGACTTGTTTACGACGGATACGTCCACCGACACGAAGGAGACCATCAACACCCAAGATAGGATTCAAGGGTAAGAGGGGACTGTTCTTTGGGGGATCACTGCCATTTCTAATGGCCTTGATTTCTGCACCGTAAGTTTCTAACTGCGCTTCTTTGATGATGAGTTTTTCTGTAGACTCAAGCAAATTGGTGTCATCAATGACCTGAGAGGCACATGTTTTCCTGGCAAGCATCTTCAAAGTCATTATGGCTCTCACTAAACTTTTCCATGTTGAGAAACGTGAAAAGCGTTTCGAACCTAATACTGGCTCAAGCACTGTCTTAGCAGTTGATACTTCTTTCTTTATCTCTTTATCAATCTCAGCATCAATAAGAGGAAAGTGTTCATTCACATCATCAACCTTGACACTTCGTAAAAAGTCTGGTCCTCTTAACCACATGCTGTCTGAGAGATCTGAAGTTCTAAACTTGCGAGTGGCGCCATCTGCAGGATTGTCCTCTGTGGGTACGTGATTCCACTGTTCTGGTCCACAAAATGATCTGATGCGACTGACTCTGTTAGCTACATAAACATGAAATCTTCTAGTTTCTGCTGATATGTATCCAAGTACCACACGACTATCAGAGTAGAAATGGAAATCTTCTTTCTTGAGATCCAGTTGTTCTTTGGCCACTTCAGCCAACTCAACAGCAACCACAGCAGCACACAACTCTAAACGTGGTATAGTATGGCCATGACTGGGTGCTACCTTTGCTTTTCCAAGCAAGAATCCTACATCAGATGAATCTTCTCCTATAGTCTTGATGTACGCCACAGCAGCGATAGCATCCTTAGAGGCATCACAGAATATGTGGACTTCAGTACTAGGAACCTGGGATAATGAAAGTCTTCCATACATCCTTGGGACCTCAACCTCTTCTAACTGACGAAGCGATTTCACCCAGTTTTCCCATTGCTCACGAAAGGATTCTGGAAGTGGTTCATCCCAGTTGGTGGGACCTGGAGGCGACATCATCTCACGAAGAAGCATTTTACCTCTGAGTGTGACAGGTGAGACAAAACCCAGAGGATCGAATAAACTGTTTATTGTTGACAGTACTCCTCTACGAGTGTAGGGCTTTGTTTCTTTTGAAACTTGAAAGGTGATCTTGTCAGATTCGATATTCCAAACCACACCAAGAGTCCTCTGCACTGGCATAATCTCCGAACCAAAATCCATGCTCTTTAAGTCCTTAGCAAGGTCATCTTGGTCAAATTGGCTGAGAACTGACTTGGAATTAGATGCTATCTTATGGAGACGCAACATTCCTCCTTCCCTAAGTGCTTTCTGGGTCTGCTTCATCAGACTTACAGCCTTCTCCTCAGTGTCACAGCTAGTGAGCCCATCATCTACATAGAAATCATGAAATACAAAGTTCTTGACATCTGGTTCAGCATCAACAACAGATCGACGTAAACCATATGTGGCCACTGCAGGGGAAGGGGAGTTCCCAAAAACATGCACTCTCATCCGGAACTCATCTAAGGGCTTTTCAAAGTCGTTCCCCTGGTGCCATAAGAAGCGTAAGTAGTTGCGGTCTGGCTCATCAACTCGGAAATTATGAAACATTTGTTCCACGTCTGCTGTAATGGCAACAGCATTCTGACGGAAACGAAGCAGAATGCCTTGTAAACTGTTTGAGAGATCTGGACCCTTCATTAATACATCATTCAGTGATAACCCTTCGTGACGAGCTGAGGAATCAAATACTACTCTTATGGAGTTGGGTTTTTTAGGGTGGTACACCCCGAACATGGGGAGGTACCAACACTCTTGTCCTTGGGGAATGGTCGGTGCCTTCTCAGCATGTCCATGTATGAAGATTTTATCCATAAATTCCAGTACGTGCTGACGTTTTAATGGGTCACGTTGGAGACTGGAATCAAACGACTTAGCACGCTTCGCAGCTTGTGCTCTGTTGCTAGGTAGAACTGGTCGATCCTGTCGAAAGGGAAGTGGTGCTGACCAATGCCCATCCTCCTCTTTCTTCATGCCAGATTCCATCACATGAAGAAAGGCTTTATCCTCAAAGGAGAGTCCAGTTTTTTCGTCATGTTCTGTTTTCACAAATGGGTTGTCAGCAATATGGAACTTACTATCACATGGTTCGAATATAGATGGTCTACCATTTTGTAGTATGAATGTCTTATTCACGTTTATAACATTTGTGTGGTGCAAATTTCCCATACAAACTTGTCCAATAATGACCCAACCAAGAGGGAGCCTTTGGGCTATTGGAAGGTCACTCTCACCGAGTTTCTGGTCCAGAACATGGTGTGCTGAGACAACATCTCTTCCTATAAGAAGTTCAATCTCAACATCATCCATCACAGTAGGTATGAATGAAGCAATTTCTTGAAGGTGAGGGTACTGCTGTGCAACGGCAGGGAACGGAATTTCGTCTCTGTTATTGGGTATGTCGTTGCACTCAATGACGACGGGTAGCTCTAACTTGCATGTCAAATCCAACGACTCGATCACATAACCATGACCCCTCCTTCCTGAAGTAGTAAGTCTTCCTGCACATGAAGACAGTATGTACTGATATTTAGAACTTCCTGGTGAAAAGAAGTCAAAGAATGGCAATGTTGCTAATGAATGGCTGCTCTGGTCATCAATGAGAGCATACACAACTCGACACTTCTGTGGATCATCCTTTAGATATACTCTAACTGGTATAATCTTAGCACAGGATCTGCTAGTACCCCTTGGTTTTCCACAAACTTTAGTGCAAGCATTCTTCACTGTTCCTTCTGGTGAGAGCTCCCCTACGTGGCAATCCAAATCCGCATGAAGTGCACTTGGATGTGAAGATTTTTTACAGACGTCACATTTCACATTTGTCTTACAGTTCATAGCTCTGTGCTTCTTAGGTCCACAGCACTTAAAACATATGCCATTGGAAAGTATGAACTTTTTGCGCTCTTCAAGGGGCTTCCTGCGGAAAGCTGAGCATTCGTTGAGTAAATGCTTTGTTTTGTGTAATGGACACAATTGTGAATCGTCTAGATTGGTAGTGTTACTTGTAGTCTCAGTCTTCTTGACAACCACAGTTGATGTTTTCTTTGGCACACTCGAACTTGAACTCGTCCTTTCTGTGCGGTCGAACTGGAAACTTGGGTCATTCCGAGTCTTGGCCGTGTCGTGTATAAACTTGACAAATATCGAGAAGGGTGGAAAGGTGCTTCCCTGTTGCCGTTTGAATCTACTAGCTTCTGTCACCCACTTCTCCTGTAGGTTCCAAGGTAACTTTGATGCAATCGGGTTTATCCCGGTAGAAGAATCAAAATAACCAAAGAGAACATGGTATTGTGGTTGTTCCTTCACAGATGCTATCTCACTAACTAGATCAGCTAGGTCGAATAGACGTTTGTTGTCATTGGCAGTGATTCTAGGGAAAGAAGTAATGCGCTCTTTCAGACTCCTTTCCACCATCTCGGGTGAACCAAATCTCTCCTCAAGCCTCTCCCATATTTTCCTTACAGCTAGTGCTGAATTGTCTGCATTACATGCACGAATGGTGCTGGCTTGTCTGGACGATGCTGGACCCAACCATCTAACCAAAAGGTCCAGTTCTTCGGTTGATGTAGTGTCTAACTCTTTCATGATCCCTTTGAAGTTTAACTTCCATGCAACGTAGAACATTGGGTTATCGTCATACTTGGTAAGTCGTGACAAAAGTAAGTCTTTTTTCACTAAGAACTTGGTAAACTCCGTCATCTGGTTAGATGTATTTGTTGACGATGAATCACACGTTGGATCTCCAACGGCAGGGGTATTATGTATATTGTTAGAATTCTCAACGTGCAGAGGGGATGACGTGATCATCTGAACTCTGTGAGGTGGAGGTCTAATAGGGGTGAAAGAAGGAGCATCTGGGTCCAGGTGAGTTTGTCTGCAATGTGCATCACTGTTGTTGTTTACTTGTTCTGTGTCTTGAACAAAATCTCTGACTTCCTTGACCACATTAGGAGGAGCATCGTTCTGTTGAACTTGCGTAAGCTGTGGGTGAGGAAGATTCTTCACATATTCTTCCGTGCGTGACTTTCTTGTAGACGACATCTCTGTATCTTCCCTCTCAAGTTTAAATGTTTCTCTCATGACCTCTATCTCCTTCTCTCGCATTTCGATCTCACATTCAGCTTTTACTAGCTTTAGCTGTGCATCCAACGCCGCCCTTTCCTTGAGAATTATCACCTCCTTAGCAACGTATTTCAACTTAGCTCGAGATGCGTTTAGTTTTGCTTCCACTCTTTGGAGGTAGGTACTTGAACTTCCACTCCTGCTTAGGCTGTACTTGGTGAGTCCTGAAGAAAATTCACTAGATTTTCCTGATTTGGATCTGCTAGGACTATGTTTTCTTTGAACCTGTTGCGAATGTGTTGATTGCACTCTGAGTGACCGTGCCGATAAGTGTTCTTCTGACTGTCGATAAGCCTTTGAGTCTTTTATATTAGAGAGTTCATCTAAACTAAGATGCACAGCATCTATCTTTGCACTCATAGCATCCATAATAAGACGGTGTGCTGCAGCTTCATTTAGGCTTTCAGCTGTTCGTGTGCCTTGTAAAAAGGCTAAAAAGTCCTCTGAACATTTAAGGTATGCGCTATAGCATGAACTCAAGAGCTGTCGGAAGGCGTCAATACAGTTTTCACTAGAGGGTTTTAGTAACTTAATATCATCTATGCATCCATCAATTTCCCTTTTGATGTCGCGAATCTTCTGAAGGTGTCTGTCAACTGCAGCTTCATACTGTTCCTGTCCCAGTGTGGACAACTGACGCATCCGGGTCATCTCTCTCTCTGTCCTTAGTTCCGGCTTCAGGCTCATCTTGGCCGACATCAGTGGAGCCAGATATTTCACTGTGCTACAACAAGTCTGCTTAGTCTTGCAAATTTATTGTGCCTCCTCCTGAGAGGGTGAAATACTGAAAACAAATAACAAAGATACATAAGTATGAATTCCCATGAAAATACAACTGAATGACAGCTATGAACCATATTCAATCCTAACATGCCAATCCAAATTTTACACTATACCAAAATTAAAAAATAGATGAAAATGAAGGTTTTACACATTAGCAAACAGTAGTTTTAAATCTAACAATCTAGCTTAACAACATATCAATGCAAACACACCTGATATTATGCACACGGTAAGTATCAATGAAATTAATCAAAGATTTGATACGCAAAATGTAATGGACATATCCATGTTTTATACTTGGCCTGAGCCAATCATCAACACGTGTATAGAGTAATAAGTAAATATGCACAAAATCTGACTTAAAAACTCTATAAAACCAATAAGATGCATCATGAACAGTGTGATTAACATTAAGCAATAGATAAAACTCACTCTATGGCTCTTCATAGCTCGGAAAACTGAAAAACATACAAGGTGTCGTTTACCGGGAAATGCATAAATTCTAAACTAAGAAACCAACAATTGTGAACAAGCAAAATAGAAAAATCCGGAATTACAATTCCATCACATTTGGCCATTCTCGAATGCATTATTCATGTCCACCAAAACAGCAGGAATGAAGCTGGTCAGGTCAACACTTGTTGAATATCTTTTTCAGATTAACTAATGGATGTTTATTTTCAATGCATACTGTCTCTCTACCTTAAGAATTTTTTTAAAGTGTACACATATTCATAACTTGCAGACATTTGATTTATTCGTAGTAAAAACATATCAAAGTGGAAGATAGATGTTAAACATTCTTTTGCTAAAATGAAAAGATGTTATAGCTCATTTGTAAAACGTTTATTATTTTTTTTTTAATAAAACATTTTATAATTATTAAAACTATTCAACAACTGATGTTTATATATTTTTTATGTGTTGTAACTTTTTTTTTTTCCAAAAGCACCGGTTATATCTTTGTGTTCGTGAACAGGCCCATTGGAAGAAATTTCACGGGGAAGGGGTGCACAACCAAAATTTTCAGTTAGGGATGGGCAATTTGAAGGAAAAATTCCTTATCAAGCATAAAAAGTTATCAGACATTATTACATGATTTAGGGGCATAATGTAACTATGTATAAATCGGCAAACTTACCCCCCCCCCCCCCGGTTCCTACAGCCATGAAAAAAAAGATATGTAATTATTGGGTATAGAATAAATCCATGTCCAAGTTTTATTTTATGTTGATGCCACTAAATTAAACTTTTCTTGTTTCTTGGCAAAAGAATTCATTTCTTGACTCAGAGTGATGTTGATTACACTGGATTTAACTTTTCTTGATTCTTTACGTAATAATAAATTTGTTCACGTCAGACATGCTCTTTAGGAAAGCTAATACTTGTTATCATTTAGATATCATTATTGTGTAATTTGACTTTACACATGCATAAGCTAAGATTGTATTACAAAATCTTGGTTAGAAAATGTAAGTTAAGAAATCACTACTAGAGTTGGCGAAATGCCTATCAAATGCGCTATGGCTCTTTTCTTCATTTATTACACTATAACCCTGATTTTGACTATGCTGCAAGAAAAAGTGGGGGTTAACCACCCTTTCAACAAACATCTTCTATAACAAAAGCTTATTTTAGAGAAAAAAGTGGGGGGGGGGGGGGCTGATACTACGTGCCTGCTACGACGTTTAGACTCTCCTGAAGAAAGCCTAAGAACTTTTAAAGATCTTCTTCCAAAGCTGTTGCCATCAGTCACTGGGAAAACCAGTCTTAAGCGTTTATCGAGGTCACCTCAAAGCTAGACCGAAAGACCCCCCCCCCCCCCGGTGGAGAGGGAGAAGGTAGCAATTTTGGTATAGAGGTTTGACGCTTAAACCTTTCCTCAAATTTTAGGATTCCATATGAGGCATCCGCGGTAAATGTAACTATTTGCGCACACACGACGCCCTGCACAACTTTGTTTACTATGCACTGAAAACTTGTTGTGAATCTTTCATAGCACATGTAAGTACTAAGGAGCATTGTTTTAATGCAGACCTTGAGATACAAACCTTTAAATTGTTACGTGGTGAATAAACTTACATTTTTTTTTATATGCGTGTCTATCTATAGCAAAATCGCATCTTCTCGGGCCTTTTCGGAGAGCTCGGGAATGTGGTGGACGATCTATGGTGACGATATCTCTAATTATAAAAGAATATGCACACAGCTCATAATTCGTTTGGCGATTAGCGGGAAAATTTTTTTAAAAAAATTGTGAGTACCATGCGCGGATCTAGAAGGGGAGGACCTCTCGATCCCAGGATATTACATAGTAAACTAAAAAAATAATCTTGGACCCTCCTCCTGGAAAATGCGGGCCTCTCTTAAGATGGTAGGAAGAGTCATGCATGCATATAAAGCTTAAGAAATGGAGGAAAGCGGTCAACCCAACCCAACCCCCAGATTTTTTTTAGCGTTTGGGAAAGGAGTTTACGGTTTTCTTTCTTTCTTTTTTTCAACGAATTCTTTGGTTGGAGTTTCTTCTGGAGTGGGATTGACACCCTGGAAAGCATTGCTGAATCCGCGCCTGAGTACTGAGGTTTTATTTCCTCCAACATTAATTACTCTGTAAAAAAAAAGATGCTTGTAATTAATCTATCTGCAGAGGTTGTTTTTATAGAAACCTTGTTAAGTGACTCAAATACGATTAGGCTCAGATGCCACAATTTAAAGAAAATAAACTTTGAATAGTTAAATAGAAATTATAAGACATTTCACACATTTTATACAACAACCAGAATATAGTGTAATAATGAAAACACATGTTACATATTTTAATTCTTAAGACAAAGCTATAAAACTATATTTACGCTAAAATAAGGGCTTTATATGCGACCTAATGGATTTATACAAAAACATAAAAACAGTCAAAATCTAGGTGTGACACTAATAATGTGGGGAAAACATACTCAAAGGACAAATATTAAGTCAACTGAATTGAAAACAAACAAATAAACAGTGGTTTTAAGAATAGTTTTAATGTCTACACAAACTTATTTTAAGACATGCCATGATGCTGGCTATTATATCTCATGCCGATCATTCCTGTAAATGAATACTTGTAAATCTTTAAACTATATGATAAAGTAGTAAGAAACTAGCTGTTTCTAATGTTAATATTGTTATATAATACCAAAAGAAATCTATTCATCGATTAGCAGGATAGATTGTTTACGTTAAGCCATAGTTTTCACCAGCAAGCTATTTTTATATATAAAAAAAAATTATAACTAAAAAAAGAATTTTTTTTATTTCAACTCGAATACTCCCCTATCCCTTTTGCCTCCATATTTCAATTATTTACAAAAAAGTTTATTTATATATCAAATAAAGTAGAAATTCAGCAATATTATGATATAAGCTCTCTCTCTCTCTCTCTCTCTCTCACCCAAAAATTTTGGTCACATGACCAAAATACGTCATGGTCACACTGAAATTGGCGGCCATAGCTATCAAGAGTTAGTGAGCTAACTGCGAAGAGATTTGCATATTCCAAACGAATTCCTGCTACAAAGCACAGCTACAGTTACAGAAGAAGACATCTTAGAGATGAGGTAATTTTATCAATGCTTATTTTGCAGCTCTTTCTCACGTGTTTGTGGAAAATGTGGTCGTGAGTTTTATGTCGGGGTCGAGTCAACGGTCCGCTAGGCCCACATAACCCTATTTTTATTAAATTGGGTATACGATGAATATTTGTTTATGTTATATATTACATGAATACACATACATATTTTCTACATTATTTATTGGTTTTGTTTGAAACAATACAAATAATCTGGTCGAACCCCCAAGTCCGCGGAAATAGGAAAACCATACTCGATGAAAAGTACACGCATGCGCAGATGATTAAAAATGTGCTTATTTAAACCATTCCATTTACCAGAGGCCTGTTCAACAGAGCGAACGTCCGCGAGCGCTCGCGAACATTTCTGTTGGAGAGCTAAGGAATTTTAGCGAGCGCTCGCGGACGTTCGCTCTGTTGAACAGGCCTCTGTTTACGCGATTTTATCTAAGAATAGTAACCAACTGGAAGGCACCAAGTGTTCATTAACGTTCAAATTTGTTATGAGAAGTAAACAGTATAAATGTGAAAATATAAATACTAGTTCCTTGCAGGCTTTGTAATGACGGTTGAAAGTATCTGATTAAGTTAGTTACATAAGCATTTTCTAATACCTGTTACACTTAAGGTAGGTATAAATAATTTTGATTTAGATATATTTTGATGAAAATTTTCCTTTATAGGTAGAGTATAGCATACATGATATATTTTTAGCTCACCTGAGCTGAAAGCTCAAGTGAGCTTTTCTGATCACATTTTGTCTGTAGTCCGTCTGTCTGTCTGTCCGTCTGTCTGTCCGTCTGTCTGTAAACTTTTCACATCTTTCAGATATTCATTGACCAGCTGTTGACGTGTAAGAATTAAGTCAAGTACTTTCTTATGATTTTCAACATGAATTTTTTTTTATAAAACATAAACTAATTCTCTTGAGAATAGCAAAAATGTGCATGGATTTTTATAAAATTTATCTTGATTGGAATTAGTGACATACTATTCATGGCCTCGTGACTTATTTAAAGTGAAGTGTTGACAGTTTTAAAAAAGAAGTAAATGTAATGAAATTTTTATTGTTAAACATAATTTTCTTAATTTTTATGCCCCAATATGAATATTGCCAGAGGGCATATAGTGTTTGTCATGTCCATCTTATGCCCTTTCGTTCTTCTGTATATTCCGTCCTTCCGTCTGTCCTTCCATTGCACTTTATGTTTAGCTCAGTTTCAAAGAAGCAATATAAGATATTTTAATCAAACTTAATATGCTGAAACATATTGATGAGATCTATCAACCGATCAACATTTTCAGACCTTGACCTTTCCTTTGACCTTGACCTGTAGTGTTTAGCTCAGTTTTAAGGAAACCATTCAAAATGTTGTTAACAAACTTTATATGCTGCTAATTAACTGCATTAACATTTTTTGACCTTGACCTTACTTTTCCTTTGGAATTAGTGTTTAGCTCATTTTTAAGGAAACTATTCAAGATTTTATTAGGTCTTTCCACCTTTCTGTGGAAAGACCTCTTGAAATGCTTATGTTTATTATTATTATTATTATTTTTCTTCCCGGACTTTTGAAACCACAAGACTTATCGAAAAACTTTATAGTTCATGATACTGGATATTAAAAGTTATTCCGAAAAACGACCCCCCATGTTTGAACTTTGACCTCTTACGAAGTTATTGCCCCTTTCGCAAGAATAGCTTGTTATCGCTACTCCTTCGAAACCGTAAACCGTAGAGGTACGAAACCTTCACCAATGTCTTTGACTAATTGAGGGGATTCTTCAATCTATTCATTGCAAAAGAATTCATTGACCACTTCAATGAGTTATTGCCCCTGAAAGTTTTTGATATTCATGAAAAATTAAAAATTTTCAAAACCATAAGTCGTAGAGACATGAAACCAACTGCATTGAATTCTTTGACATTTGACCTTGAAATTTATGTCAAGGTCAAAGGTAGAGGTCATTCAAACTATGAGATATTTATAACTCTCTTGTCTTTCAACATATACTATATGCCTTTGCATCTTTAATATGTCCTTCTAAAACTATTTCAAAGATTTCATTCTTGTCCCCTAAGCTTAACCCCTTTGAAAGTTATTGCCCCTTTTTCGAAAAACCTTGTTATCGCTACTCCTCTGAAACCGTAGACCGTAGAGACATCAAACCTTCACTAATGTCTTCAGGGTCTTTAGACACAACTTCAATCTATTCAGTGCGAAAGGATCTGATGACCCTTTATATGAGTTATCGCCCTTTAACGGCTTTGCGCTTAATAGTAGGCCTTATAACTTTAAAAGTATAAGTCCTAGAAGCATGAAACTAATTGCAATGTGATTCTTGACCTTTGACCTTTAATGTGTGGTAAAGGTCAAAGGTCAAGGTCATTTCAAAATTTTCAAAATTTTCATTTTTTTCTATTTTCAAGCCATTTCTGGATTCTTTTTGTATAAAAATTAACTTTAGAGAGTAAAATATAAAAATTAAAGAAATTTAAAGAAAGTGGAAAGACCTCTAATTGTTCGAGAACAATTAGTCTACTAGTTATCTTTCATATGCTGATACATACTGATGTAAGCTACTCAACTGCATCAACTTTTTTGACCTTAACCTTTCCTCTGACCTTGACCTTTTCTGAAATTAATGTTTTAAACAGTTTCAAATAAACTATTGAAGATATTCTTATCAAACCTTATATGCTAATACATATTCACTTGTTGAAAGCTATTCAAATGCATCAATGTTTTTTACCTTGACCTTTCCTTTGACCTTGACTTATTTTTTCTTAAATTAGTGTTTAGCTAAGGTTTCAAGATCTTGTTCACAAACTTCATATGCTGATACATATTAGTGAGAGTTCAGGGTTGTCCCTAAGAATTGAAATAGCAGGGGACATTATAAAAGTAGAAGGGGTTTTTGGGTTCCTCCCTAATGGGGGTTGAGGGGGAATACCAGAATAACTGGGGGATTACATCATTATAGGCAGGGAATTTCCCCGGCCCCTGGGTCTTAGGGACAACCCTTGAGTTATTGAACTGCATCAAAAACTTATAACTTTTAACTTTTCTGTGACCTTGACCACACTTTTCTTAAATTTGCATTTTGTTCTATTTCAAAGATATTTCAAGATATTTTTATGGAAGCATTATTATGCACTGATACATAATTTGTTGTGAATTTATCAAGTATATCCAAAGTTTTTATCTTGACCTTTCCAATTACCTTTGACTTCGTTATTTATTGTCTATAAAACTCATTTTTTAATTTAAGATATATTTTCATCAGTCTTCATACACTAATACTAATTTTCATGTTGCATCATTGATGATCTCTCGGCAGGGCATTCATGTACTATAATGAACATATTTCTATTTTAAATTGAAAGTAAATTCTGTCCATGAGATCAGTCATTTTTATGTTTGCTCAAATATTTCTATCATGCTTGAAATACATTTATTAGGGGTGAAACGATACACCTCCTTCACGGTTCGATACGTATTGTATAATTTTGTCTCGGTTCGGTTATTTTCAATACGATACATTTTGATAGAAGGAAACAAATTCAACGTTGTTTTATGCTTTCGTTTTCTACATCTATAGTCACATATTTTACGAATTTTATTTGCAAATTGACTAGAAGAAATTGATTAAAATTATTCGACTGTCAAAAATTATTTTACAAGCTATCATTCATCAAAAATTTACGTTTTCTATACTTATTTTTACTGAGTAACGTGTTTTACCTTATGCCAAACCCGACTGAATAACGATCCCGACCGAAAAATGAACTGAACCGAATATTAGAGATTTTGCACCGTGTAACAAACCGAGAAAAAATACCGCGGTGAATCGATACCGCGGTGAACCGTTTCACTCCTAACATTTATCCAAATAATTATGCTCAGAAAGTGTAACAAAATTATAATTAAATTAATTCAAATGCAATTTATCACATTTATTGTATTCTATATCTTAATATAAGAATTAAAATAAAGTTTTACATATTTTTCTTTAAATAAAAATAGTTATAGAAAAAACATCCTATAACATTATAAATTAAATCTATAGATTTTAATCTTATATTTTCAATTCCTTATTCTTAAAATAAGGAATGGGTGATCAAAGTTTTACACAGGGACATAATAGGAAAAAATCTTAAAAAATCTTTTCATGGACAGCAAAGATATGATTGGTCATATAATACAGAAGTATCCTTAGGTAGTGTAGATTCAAGTTCAAATCATATTCCCCTGCTGGGTTTAGACCTGTGACTACATATTGCATTGTTGTACACATTGTTATCAATGACAGTATGCACCTATCGTCTATCAGGACACATTATTGTTGTCAGATGAAAATTGTACGTATTGTTGCTGGTGACATTTTGTCTGCAGCCTACACTCAGTCAGTAAGGGCTGCTCTCTAAGGATTTTTTTGTAGTTTGTTGAATGATTGATTGATTGTATGTTGTTAAACGTCCTGTTTGAGAATTTTTCACTCAGATAGAGACTTCACCATATACCGCTGAAGGGCTTCAAATTTAGACCTTTACTTGGCACTCAGGTCCAGTGAGCAGTGAGAATTCTTTATCGTGCCAACGCCTACCATGACAAGGGGCCTGGGTTTTTAAGGTCTCATCCGAAAGACCCACAACTTTCACTTCAAAGTGCCGAAGGCTTGGTGAAGGAACAGTTGCTACCTACTTTTTATCGACTTAGGTCAGTCATGGCCATGATATTAGATCACACGACCTTCTGATCATTAAGCAAGCGCTCTTCCAACTGAGCTACTGTTGTAATATTTTTCGATAATTATTTAACTTAACAACTTCAAATTGTTAAAGCTTTCCAAATTAATATAATTATAGACAATTTTCAATGTGTAGCAAACCCTTACTTTTATTTAACCAGTGATGAAATGTATACCGGGGTATGCTTAATACCCTGTTCATTATTTACATGTACCAGGCATACAGGTACATAGACATTAACATCCCATTTTGCGCCTGTGTATAAACAGTAGCTTTCACACTTTGCACTCCATTGCATGACCACAGATTGCTGTTATAATCGCTGCTCCAATGAGCAGAAATCGCCATTACAAATTTTGTATTTTTTTTTTTCATTTTAATTTTATATCCTTTATTAAGTATTTTGGCAAATTGATTGGGGCGGTGACTGCTGCCCCTGCCGTCCCTTTGCCGACACCCTTGGTCTTTCAGGCTTTGCGATTGTGACAGTACATATATTGTCATCCTGCACATATTGTCGCTGGCAACAATGTGTACCTACCCTAGCTCACTGCACATATTAATTGCTGTCCATCGGTATCTATTGTTGCAGGCTTTAATATATATATACTTGTACATATATTGTTGCTGCTACGTGACAATTAATTAATGTGCCGTAACCCTTACTGCAAATATTTTTGCTCCACTGTTAGAGTTACAGTTATTAATGTGGATGATAATAATATTGGAAATTTATATACTTTAAGTTTTCATGAGAAAGCTTAATTTGTTATTTAAATCTTGAGTTTCTCAGTACTTTGCTACTCAACTGTTATGGACTAGGAAAACAGGGTTTCAAGGTGCATAGCATATTAGGTATATAAATGCTGCATTGAGATGTGCACATATTCACAATTTATGTTTGACATCTCTATATGAGTGAAAAATGTTGGGGAAAAAAATGGATATATTAAATGAACCAGGGTGTACGAATTATTACTGATATATTGGTAATATATTGCAATATTAAACCATTAACAGTCAGGGGTGAGACTGAAATCCGTCATTTTTAAAATGACGATTTTCAGTCATAAAATAAAATTTTTATTATGACTTAAACTCGTCATTTTTAAGAAAATGACGAAAAACAGTCATAAAAATTTAGAGTGTTTCTAGAAGGTTACCTCTCTTTGAAAAATGTTAGATCCACCAACCGAAAAAAGGACAAAAAACATCGTAAACAAACTTCATTTGTCTAATACAGTTGACTACAATACTGGTTATGTTGACAGTACAAATTTCCCAAGCAAAAATAAGAGTGGAAGAGTTATTTGTCAATTTATTTGCATTAAATAGGAATGAAGACGAAAATGGCGATATTCCGTCTTTTTTCAGAATGGAGGGTCTGGGCGCACTGAAATATCTCGCTTGTTTTACGGGGCGCACTACTTTTTTATGGCTTTAACTTTTCGTCGAGACTTTTCTCTACAAGTACGTATTCTTCCAGACGGTGTACTATATGTTTTTATAGGGCTAAAAGCCATGTGAAAATGGCAAATTAGTTCTACCAAAATTCGACATTTTACCGCTAAATAATAACTTTCACCTTCCATGTTGATGTTCTAACGCACGTGGTGGGCAGTAATTAGTGACCCGGATGAAATGAATCTTGCGTAAACCCTCTTCTTTCAGCGGTGAATTCAAATTTCGCTTTTATGTAACCAGGATAAAAGAATTAAGTTGAAAAAGAAAATATGACGATAGTAAGTCATATTGACAAAAATGACGAAAATACATAGTTAGTAAATATGACGATTATCTATCATTTTTCAGAAATGACGGATTTCAGTCTCACCCCTGACTGATTAACAATGATATATTGCAATATTTTTTTTCCATACCACTATTGACGATCATAATGCTTAATTACACTGCTAAATATGATGTATCTGAATTCAGTAAAAAGGATTAGATATATAATTCTATATAGGTTAACAATGTAAATTTAATTCAACAACAATTTTATTGTATTATTACCGGAATACTTACTCTCAACAATTTTCAAATATGTACTTTTGTTTACCAAAATGGCAGATGAAAAAAACTTTGTGAACTAATTCGCTCCTTTAATTGGATCACAATGCTTTAATTCCGAGTCTCATGTTTGAGTAGACGTACATTAAAACAAGAAAAGAAAAACTGAGATATGCAAGTGAAATTAGCTGGCCGTATCTCAATTTTTTACGCAGATATTATAAAGTATTAACACCTTTTGATTGTCTTCGCCAAAATAAAAACTATAACTTAATTCAGCCGGAAACTTTTACGCCTAGCAGACAACAAACAATCTCTCTAATTAAAAGATCAAAATCAAGATGGGGTATTTTGATTTCATTATAATGAATAAAACATGGCATTGCGTGAAGTACATGTTTATCCAGTTTACTTAAACGTTTTAGAGAAATGAACAACAATGCAATATATGGCAATATTTATTGCAGTATGCCATCAAATATTGCAATATATTGCAACATAATTTTTCCGGCAATACTCACCCCTAAAAACAATATACTACAGCCATGGAAAATTCTTTGATTGTCATTTACATAGTGAATTCAAATTGTTTCCTATGTTTACAGTATTTATCTGATCATTAATTCTCTGGAGTTGATGTTGCAGTAATATTTTGATGTATATAAGGAAAATTAAACTACGTTGTGCAATAAAGTTTTTATCATTATCTAGATGGAACCTCGATGATCGGGGAGGATCAGACGACGTCCTGCTTGGCACGATGATTACGTGATGGACTTTCTGGTAAGTATTATGGATTATTATTTTGGTACTTTTATTATGCTATATATGTCTTTAATTTTCCAAAGAACAATTGCATATTTTGTTGTTCCTGATTTTGTCTGTCACTTTCTGTTGATCCATTCATGAAATTTTTTTGTTTTTGGATAATATGGATAAGTAGCCAGCTAGACATTTTTAGCTCTACTGGTCAGAGACCAGAAGAGCTTATGCGACAGTAAGTTGTCCGTCATCCGTCCGTCTGTCTAGCTGTCTCTGTCTGTCTTTCTGTAAACAATTTTTCAAATGCTACTTTTCCTACAGTTTTTGTCTGATTTCAATATAACTTGTCACACAAGTAGACTACACTGAGATACATAATTCTGTTTATCAGATTTTGATTTCAATGAATGGTGTTGTCATGGTTACTAAAAATAGAAATTTCTGTGAAATACTTTCTAAACACTACTCCTCCTACATTTTGGTTTGATTTTTATATAACTTGACATGCAAGTAGACTACACTGAGATACATAATGTCTTTATCAGTTTTTGATTTTGATGAATGATGTTGCCATGGTTACTTAAACTAGAAATTTATGTAAAATTCTTTCAAAAGGCTACTCCTCCTACAATTTTAGTCTGATTGCAATAAATCTTGCCACAATAATTAACAGACTAAACAAAGGATCACTATTCTATTTATTGCTGTTGCAAAGCTTCAAGTCCACATTTTTCTCATTCTGTTATAAGAGCTACAGTCTAATCAGAGACCTCTGGTTTGGGCAGGTATGTTTCCATTTAGATTGAAGACCTAACTGTTACAATTGTCAAATCTTGCATGAACATTTGCATCTTTTGATTCACAACCATCCTGAATGTTATTTGATTTATCATGTGACTAATTTTTATGCCCCTTTTTAAAAAAATGGGACATGCTGTTTTGTACCTGACAGTCAGAGGAACAAGTGTTGACAGCTCAATATCTTGATAACCCTTTCCTCTGCAAACATTAAACTTGGTTCACTGGTACTTCCTTTAGTAAGTCAATCCAGTTGTTTTTTTTTTATCAACTCAAAAGATTAAACTGTAAAATAAAAATTGTCCACTCAATATCTAGAGAACCTTTTGCTTGACAGACATCAACCTTGTTACATTACCCATTAGTACCCCTTAAGGAGTGTACATGCGAGATCACAAGGACAAAAGTTAAGGGTGGAACTACTTAATTTGGACAAAAGAAGAAATTGTCAACTTAATATCTTGAACACCAACTGTAAGTAAAAACCCTGTCACACTGGAACTGTGTCCTCACGGTGATCGCAGGGCGTCCATAAAATATGCAGAATGCCGAGGTGATCACTGTAGAGTCTCCTACAGTGCCATGACAACGCAGCGAGATCTCCACTGAATGCATTAAGGTCTCGTAGGGTCTCCTAGAAAGCCAGGGGACTGCGCGCACTTTGGGCATGCACAATTAAGTACGCGCCATGTGAGCACGATCTGATAAGAACTAGTAGAAACGTAATATGATCGCCATAGCAGCACTATGAGATCTCCAACAATGCAGTGGGAGCTCTGTAGGCTAACTGTGAAGATGCACATGATCGCAGCATGAATGCAGTGATAGTAGACTGCGCTTTCACAGAGACCTCGCGGAGTCCTTGGAGATGTCACTGCGTTTAAGAATGCATTGTGAATGCAGCCAGTGCAGTGAGAACGCCATGAAAACTCCGCGGAAGCGCAGTCTATCTACAAGAGATCTGCGTGGGAATGCAGTATCAAACCGCAAGAATGCCATAGAAACGTGTCGGTCACTGTAGGGACGCCGTGACATCTTTACATTGTAAAAATTTTACAGAATTTTGTGCAATTTCCCCTGTGATTCCACGGTGATTTTAAAAATTTAACAATGCCGTAATAACTCTGTGGGGACGCAGCTTGGTGTGACAGGGCCTACACTTGTAGTTGTACACTCTAAAATGATGACTCCTATTGTTGTGGAGGTAAAAAGTCACAAGGTCAAGGTTCAAACTATTCTTGCCATCACAAATCCCCCCTCAATATCTAACAAGTGACCAAACTTGCATGGATCATTCGTGTAGGAGTGAAAGCTACCAGAACCTCTACAGATTCTAAATCTTGATTACATTTTCAAGATGATTGAACATGCAGGTTTAAGTTTTTTGAGTAAGTCCATTCTCAAGTACCCAGACCAAGCTTGCACAAATCTTAGGGTGCACACTACCTGAAAATTTGTTTGTTGTTAGACTTTTAACATTCATTAACTTAAGGTGCGGTTTAAAAATTTTGATGACCTATGTTTTAATTTTTGTTTACATCACACATTATTAATGTAGTCATGCATTTAGGAACTTTATACTCATGACACCCTGGTGACTGATATATATATATTTTAGAATTCATGGAAATACTCTTGGTTTATAGATGACCACTAAAACAGTATTTGCCAAGGTTCATCAAATCACGCAAAAAGGCACTCATTCTGATGGTTATTACCTATTATAATCTGAGCCAAATGTCTGGTATCAATTTAGACTTAAGGACGTACGCAACGTAGTTTGAACTTTATTGTCTTTTTCCCTGGAGTTGAAGAGTTCCAATACTTAAAGGAACTGTGTGCTACATTTTAATGTCTATATATGCCGTTGTACACTTCTTCTAAAATAAGTTTAGATAAACAAAACACCTAGAATATATATTTAGTAATTTTTGTATATTTTTTTTGAATTATACGAGAATTTCCATTAATTGATATCTTTTCAAAACCCCTGGTAATGCATGTTGATTTTTTGTCTATGAACATCTGATGGCACTATAATCTTGAATTAAGAATATCTTGAAAAATTATCAGTAGGGAAGGTACGTTGCGTATGTCCTTAAGGCTGTCCAAAGTTATTTCTATATTCAACATCACCTGCCCTTTTAGGATTTTGGAGAAATTGGCACTTTGAAAAAGCAAACAAATTGTTAACATTTAGCTCGTTTGACTTAAAGGCTCAAGTGAGCTTTTCTGATCACATTTTGTCCAGCGTCCATCTGTCAGTGTCCCCCCATTATGACTGTCTGTAAACTTTTTATATTTTCGACATCTTTCTCCAGAACCACTGAGCCAACCAAACTTGCTACAAAGCATCCTTGGGTGAAGAGGATTCAAATTTGTGCAAATGAAGGGTCACACCCTCTTTCAAGGGAGATAATTAAGAATGAGTGAAAATTTGGTGGCAACATTTAAAAATCTTCTTCTCAAGAACCACTCGGCCAGAAAAGTTGAAACTTATGTGAAACCTTTAGAATGTAGTGTAATTTCAAGTTTGTTCAAATCATGACCCCTGGGGTAGGGCGGGGCCACAATTGGGGATCAAAGTTTTACTTAAGAACATGTAGGAAACAATATTTAAACATCTTCTGAAGAAGAACAGCAAAGACATGATTAGTCATATTGATATAGAAAAATGCTCGGGTAGTGTAGAATACATAACCCTTGGGGTAGTGTGGGGCCACAATTGGGGATCAGATTTTTACTTTGGAATATATAGGGAAAAAATCTTTAAAAATCTTTTTCTCAAGAACCGCTGGGCCAGAAAAGTTGAAACTTATCTGAAAACTTTATTATATAGTGTAGATTCAAGTTTGTTCAAATCATGACCTCTGGGGGATGGGCCACAATGAATGATCAAATTTAGATAAAAATACATTGGAAAAATATTTAAAAATCTTCTCAAGAACAGCAGAGCCATGATCAGTCATATTGATATAGAAAACATGCTCAGGTATTGTAGATTCAAGCTTTTTTTCCAAATCGTGACCCCTTGGGGTAGGGTGGGGCCACAAGATCAAATTTTTACATAGGAATACAGTGGTACCTCAGTATATTGCCCTCCATTATATTGCCACCCTCGCTTATTGCCAGGAATTCTCGAAGAATGGATATCCCCATGTTAATACACCCATTATATTGCCACCCCTGCTTATTGCCATCCGCCACTGGTTTTGGGAAACAAAAGGTCAAATTATGTAAGGAAAACCCGCGTTAACAATGCCAATTATCTAGCGGGTGTCGGTAATTTGGACACCACACCCGTGCTTTGACAGTGGTTGCGGTGAAGCGTGACTGGCTGGACAAGGAATTTAGCTAAATTAAAGATAATCGTTGTATAAAACTCAAAATTAGCAATGTCTTTGGCATGTATTTATAAGATAGAAGATTATTTCATCACAATAATGGAAACGTCAGGCGAGAGAAAGCGTAGAAATTTAGATTACGAAAAAAAAGATTGATCAACATTCGATCTATTTGATTGTAAATCGCTGATTATTGCCATCATGGATAATGCACAAAACCATAATAAATGCAAAAATTAATTTGTATCCCCTTAGATTAAGAAGCCATTCTATCGATTAAAAAGGAAACCTCATATCTATTTTTAGACTACTATAGTTCTGCACATGAAAATATTAGAGATTCCGTTAGCCCTGAAATTTTCTTAAATTGTCGGACATATATTGGTTTGATTGACAAATATCAAAACAGAATCGGAAGAGAAGTACACAGGTACTAGCAAACATGAGAATACACATTTAATATAAGGGGTTGACGTATTCTAACATGCGACTTACCATTTGTCAGTCATGATGCTTTACCAACCAAACTTTTTAACTGATTCAGAATTTCTTGAGACGGTGAAATAATCTACTTTCGATTCAGATGAAATTATTGATAATTCTCAAAACTTTTTTATACCAAGAGGCCATAACGGCCACTGACATCTTTGTCATCCTGTTATTAAATTCTTAGAGCATGATGAAAGGAAATTGATGTGTTCAATATTCTGGTATTTTATTTCTTTTCAGTCAAAATATTGTAAACAAAGAAAAAAAACCCCAATAATCATGATGGCTTTTTCCCCCAAAAAGAAATGAGAGCTGTCCCTATACACATGTGACATAAATAGATTGTAACTGAAGTAAATTAAGTAATATATTTATTTTGTTTTGATAACCAACTGAATTGTAATTTATGGCAGAATTCGTTATATTGCCACCCTCGCTTTAATGCCAAAATCTGTCTTGAACAAAAGTTGGCAATATACCAAGGTAGCACTGTATATAAGTGAAAAAACTACAAATCTTCTTTCAAGAACAGCACAGCATGAATAGTCATATTGATATGAAAGCTTTCTCAGGTTGTGTAGATTCAAGTTTGTTCAAATCATGACCCCTGGGGGGTAGGATGGGGCCACAATGGACCATCAAAATTTTACATAGGAATACATAGGAAAAATCTTTTAAGATCTCCTTCTCAAGAACAGCAAAGCCATGGTTGGTCATATTGATATGGAAGCATCCATAGGTAGTGTAGATTTAAATTTGTTCAAATCATGACCCCCTGGGGCAGGGCCTGGGAAGGGGCAGCGCCATGCGCCATATGCGCATACTGTCGAAAAATGGCGCAATGAAATAATGGTGCGCAGCGCCATGCGGCGCACTCTGCAAAATGCGGGTATGCATGTTTTATTACTCTGTACCCTTAAATTTCAAAATGGCCCCATCATTTTATGAACACTGGGGCCATTGGCCCTACCTGTTGCTTGACCTTCCCAGGCACTGCTGGGGGTAGTGTGGGGCCACAATGGATGATCAAAGATTTACATAGGAATACATACTAGGAATAATCTTTAAAAATCATTAAAGCAATGATTGGTCACATTGATATGGAAGCATCCCCAGGTAGTGTAGATTCAAGTTTGTTCCCCCCCCCCCCTTTAAGGGTAGGTTGGGACCACTTATGTATTTTAACTTTTCAATACTGAACTGATTTCTGCTTTTTTCTCAGCCAGCAAGAATCCAGTTTGCAATTACTTTCAGCAATATTTAATTTGGCCCTTTATCACAAGTTCATGACGTCACAATTAACATTTAGGAGTTCATATGAGAAAAACAATTAGTATATTCTTAGTGCATGGTTTTTCAACAATTCAGAACATATGAGTTTTAATTTATTACACCACTTTCATATTTTAGAAAAATACTGGGCCAGGTTTATATTGAAACAGTACCTTGTTCTTTAATGAGATCTTTTTAAAAAAATCATCTTAAGAACCACTGGGCCAGAAAAGATGAAACTTTTGTGAAAGCTTTATTACATAGTTTAAAATAATTAAGGAAAATATATCATTAATTTCCAGCTCACTTGTGATTTCAACTAAAGTAGACTTCTAGAACATAAAGAACAGAAAATTTGCAGAAAGGGATCTCTTAGCTAATTGTTGCAATATTACATTGATTTAAGGTCAGATGACATGTTCCTTGAACATGTTTTTGTATCTCTTCATGATTTATAGAAAAATATCCATAATTATCATTATCTTGTGATTTCTAAACTTGTTTTCAAAATGTCTTAAACAATAAATTCTCCAAAAATTGTGATATTGATATTTCAAGAGATTTCCAATAGGATTATATTAAAAACATACACCATCATCTGGTATCTTGCACAAATGCCTGGTAAGGTACCTCAAATTTTTTGTGAGGAAACCTGTTAAAATAGCAATAACTCAATGACAAATTCTTACGGAAAATTATATACTTATGAGGAACATGTCGTCTGTGCTTAATATCAATGAAACTTGGTAAAAATTAAGAGAACATGCAGGTAATTCTCTACATCAGTCAGGGGTGAGACTGAAATCCGTCATTTTTAAAATGACGATTTTAAGCCATAAAATAAAATTTTTGTTATGACTTAAACTCGTCATTTTTAAGAAAATGACGAAAAACAGTCATAAAAATTTAGAGTGTTTCTAGAATACCGAGTTACCTCTCTTTGAAAAATGTTAGATCCACCAACCGAAAAAAGGAAAAAAAACATCGTAAACGAACTTCATTTCTCTAATACAGTTGACTACAATACTGGTTATGTTGACAGTATAAATTTCCTAAGCAAAAATAAGAGTGGAAGAGTTATTTGTCAATTTATTTGCATTAAATAGGAAAGAAGACGAAAATGACGATATTCCGTCTTTTTTCAAAATGGAGGGTCTGGGCGCACTGAAATATCTCGCTTGTTTTACGGGGCGCACTACTTTTTTATGACTTTAACTTTTTGTCGAGACTTTTCTCTACAAGTACGTATTCTTCCAGACGGTGTACTATATGTTTTTATAGGGCTAAAAGCCATGTAAAAATGGCGAATTAGTTCTACCAAAATTCGACATTTTACCGCTAAATAATAACTTTCACCTTCCATGTTGATGTTCTAACGCACATGGTCGGCAGTAATTAGTGACCCGGATGAAATGAAACTTGCGTAAACCCTCTTCTTTCAGCGGTGAATTCAAATTTCGCTTTTATGTAACCAGGATAAAAGAATTAAGTTGAAAAAGAAAATATGACGATAGTAAGTCATATTGACAAAAATGACGAAAATACGTACTTAGTAAATATGACGCTTATCCATCATTTTTCAAAAATGACGGATTTCAGTCTCACCCCTGACTGTACATGTGAAACTTTTTTTAAAAAAATCAAATCCAAATGCAACTTCTCTCTGACACTAATTTGAGCACAAACCATTAGAGCTACTGTCTTATCAGATATTTCATTTATTGTAGATTTTACATTCATATTCCAGTTTTGGAACTGTACTTTTTCTCTTTTATAGGTGCGAAAGTCCACTGTAAAGCAGAGGTTGAGGGCTGGAGATAACCTTCAACAGCCTGAGGAGATGGAAGTGCCACCTCCTCAGCCTGTGCTTGATTTTCCTGAGGAGGAGCTTGAGCAAGCTGAAGAGATGGCTCTGCCATCTACTCAGATTGTAGTAGTTCATCCTCAGGAAGGTCAAGCACAGACTGTGAAGATGGCACTGCCATCTGTTGTGTCTGCAAAAGTTCTGATCACGGAGGAGAAAGAAGTGACTGTTGAGATGGATTTGCCATCTTCTCAGACTGTTAAAGATTATCGTTCCTGGTTCCCACATAGCTTCGGGCCATGGCTGAAGGTGAGTCCTCAGTACCGGCCACCACCTAGGAGGAAAGAGGAAAGGCATCACACAAAGTGGTTTCAACGTAAAGTTTGGATGGTAGGGATTTTGCCTTACTCTAGTAACGCGAATAAATGTTAGGTTTAAATTTCCTCTAAAAGTAAGTAAGGCAAATAAAATATAGGTTTCTATTTTCTGTAAAAGTAAGTAAAGCGAATAAAACTTAGATTTCAATTTTCTCTAAAAGCAGGTAATGCGAATAAAATTAAGGTTTCAATTTCCTCTCCAAGTAAGTAAAGCGAATTAAAGTTAAGTTTCGATTTCCTGTGAAAGTAATTACCTCAAATAGAAATTAGGTTTCTATTTCCTCTAAAAGCAGTTAATGCAAATAAAAGTTAGGTTTCTATTTTCTGTAAACGTAAGTTATGCGAATAAAATTTATGTTTCAGATTTCAACTTCCTCTAAAGGTAAGAAAAGCGAAAAAAAATGTAGGTTTATATTTCCAATAAAAGTAAGTATTGTTAAGGTTTTGTATAAATTGACTTTTTTCTTGTGAATGCTCTGCTTAAATATTTCATCATCAGCACACACCGCTATTTAAACACAGTATTCATAAGAAAACTAAATAGGTTTCAGTTTCCTCTCAAAGTAAGTAACGTGAATAAAAGTTTAGTTTCAATTTCCTCTCAAAGTGGGTAACGTGAATAAAATTTAAGTTTCTATTTTCTTTAAAAGTCGGTAACGGGAATAAAATAAAGGTTTCTATTTTCTTTAAATGTAAGTAACGTGAATAAAAGTTAGGTTTCAATTTCCTCTCACATTAGGTAACGCGAATAAAATTTAGGTTTCAATTTTATCTCAAATTCATTGACACGAATAGGAGTTGGATTTCAGTTTCTACTCAAAGTAAATAATGCTTATAAAAGTTAGGTTTCGATTTCCTCTCAAATTAAGTTGCACGAATAAAAGAAAGGTTTCAATTTTCTCTATTAGTAGGTAACGCGAATGAAAGCTAAGTTTCTATCTTCTGTAAACGTAAGTTATGAAAAAAAGATTTATGTTTCAAATGTCAACTTCCTTTAAAAGTAAGAAAAGCCAAAAAAAATGTAGGTTTATATTTCCACTTAAAGTAAGTATTGTTAAGAAAACTAAATAGGTTTCAGTTTCCTCTCAAAGTAAGTAACGCGAATAAAAGTTTCTCTTAAAAAATTTTCTCTATTAGTAGGTAATGTGAATAAAAGTTAGGATTCTTTTTTTCTGTAAAAGAAAGTAACGCGAATAAAGTAAGGTTTCTATTTTCTATAAAAGGTTTCAAGTTCATCTCAAGTAACGTGAATAAATGTTAGGTTTCTATTTTCTTTATAAGTAAGTTACCGGAATAAAAGTTAGGTTTCAATTTCCTCTCAAAGTAGGTAACGCGAATAAAATTTAGGTTTCTATTTTCTTTAAAAGTCAGTAACGCCAATAAAATATAAGTTTCTATTTTCTTTAAATGTAAGTAACGCGAATAAAAGTTAGGTTTCAATTTCCTCTCACGGTAGGTAACGCAAATAAAAGTTAGGTTTCAATTTCATATCATATTCAGTAATGTGAATAGGAGTTAGATTTCAGTTTCCTCTCAAAGTAAATAATGCGAATAAAAGTTGGGTTTCAATTTCCTCTCAAAGTAAGTTACGCGAATAAAAGAAAATTTTCAATTTTCTCTGTTAGTAGGTAACGCAAATAAAATATAGGTTTCTATTTTCTATAAACGTAAGTTATGCAAATAAGATTTATGTTTCAAATTTCAACTTCCTCTAAAAGTAAGAAAAGCAAAAAAAATGTAGGTTTATATTTCCACTTAAAGTAAGTATTGTTAAAGTTCTGTATAAATTGACTTTTTTCTTGTGAATGCTCTGCTTAAATATTTCATCATCAGCACACACCGCTATTTAAACACAGTATTCATAAGAAAACTAAATAGGTTTCAGTTTCCTCTCAAAGTAAGTAACGAGAATAAAAGTAAGGTTTCAATTTCCTCTCACAGTAGATAACGTGAATAAAAGTTGCGTTTCTATTTCCTCTCAAAGTAAGTAACATGAATGAAAGTTAGGTTTCAATTTCATCTCAAAGTAAGTTACGCGAATTAAAGTTAGGATTCTTTTTTCTGTAAAAGAAAGTAACGCAAATAAAGTAAGGTTTTTACTTTCTATAAAAGGTTTCAATTTCGTCTCAAGTAACGTGAATAAATGTTAGGTTTCTATTTTCTATAGAAGTAAGTAACCGGAATAAAAGATAGGTTTCAATTTCCTCTCACAGTAGGTAACGCGAATAAAAGTTAGGTTTCTATTTCCTCTCAAAGTAAGTAACGTGAATGAAAGTTAGGTTTCAATTTCGTCTTAAAGTAGGTTACGCGAATAAAAGTTAGGTTTCTTTTTTCTGTAAAAGAAAGTAACGCAAATAAAGTAAGGTTTCTACTTCCTATAAAAGGTTATAATTTCGTCTCAAGTAACGTGAATAAATGTTAAGTTTCTATTTTCTATAGAAGTAAGTAACCCGAATAAAAGTTTGGTTTCAATTTCCTCTCAAAGACTTTTAACACGAATAAAAGATAGGTTTCAATTTTTTCTCACAGTAGGTAACGCAAATAAAAGTTAGGTTTATTTTTTCTGTAAAAGAAAGTAACGCAAATAAAAGAAAGGTTTCAATTTTCTTTATTAGTTGGTAATGCAAATGAAAACTGAGTTTCTATTTTCTGTAAACGTAAGTTATGCAAATAAGATATACGTTTCAAATTTCAACTTCCTCTAAAAGTAAGAAAAGCGAAAAAAATGTAGGTTTATATTTCCACTTAAAATAAGTGTTGTTAACGTTTTTTTATAAATTGTCTTTTTTTCTTGTGAATGCTCTGCTTAAATATTTCATCATCAGCACACACCGCTATTTAAACACAGTATTCATAAGAAAACTAAATAGGTTTCAGTTTCCTCTCAAAGTAAGTAACGCGAATAAAAGTTTAGTTTCAATTTCCTCTCAAAGTGGGTAACGCGAATAAAAGTAAGGTTTCAATTTCCTCTAATAGTAGATAACGCGAAAAAAAATTAGGTATTTTCCTCTAAAAGTAGGTAACGGATATAAAAGTTAGGTTTCAATTTCCTCTCAAAGTAAGTAACACATATACGAGTTACTGGTTTCAATTTCCTCTCAAAGTAAGTAATGCAAATAAAAGAAAGGTTTCAATTTTCTCTATTAGTAGGTAACGCGAATAAAAGTTAGGATTCTTTTTTCTGTAAAAGAAAGTAAGACGAATAAAGTAAGGTTTCTATTTTCTATAAAAGGTTTCAATTTCATCTCAAGTAACGTGAATAAATGTTAGGTTTCTATTTTCTTTATAAGTAAGTTAGCAGAATAAAAGTTAGGTTTCAATTTCCTCTCACAGTAGGTAACGCGAATAAAATTTAGGTTTCAATTTTATCTCAAATTCAGTGACACGAATAGGAGTTAGATTTAAGTTTCCACTCAAAGTAAATAACGTGAATAAAAAGAAAGGTTTCAATTTCCTCTCAAAGTAAGTTACATGAATAGAAGAAAGGTTTCAATTTTCTCTATTAGTAGGTAACTCGAATAAAAGGAAAGGTTTCAATTTCCTCTCAAAGTAGGTAATTGTTAAGGTTTTTTATAAACTGTCTTTTTTTCTTGTGAATGCTCTGCTTAAATATTTCATCATCAGCACACACCGCTATTTAAACACAGTATTCATAAGAAAACTAAATAGGTTTCAGTTTCCTCTCAAAGTAAGTAACGAGAATAAAAGTTTATTTTCAATTTCCTCTCAAAGTGGGTAACGCGAATAAAAGTTTAGTTTCAATTTTCTCTCAAAGTAAGTAACGTGAATAAAAGGTTTCTATCTTCTGTAAAAGTCAGTAACGCGAATAAAACATAGGTTTCTATTTTCTGTAAAAGTATGTTACACGAATAAAAGTTAGGTTTCAATTTCATCTCAAAGTCAATAACGCAAATAAAAGTTAGATTTCTATTTTCTGTAAAAGGTTTCAATTTCATCTCAAGTAACGCGAATAAATGTGAGGTTTCTATTTTCTTTAAAAGTAAGTAACCCGAATAAAAGTTAGGTTTCAATTTCCTCTCGAAGTGCGTAACTCGAATAAAAGTTAGGTTTCAATTTCCTCTCAAAGTAGGTAACGCGAATAAAATTTAGGGTTCTATTTTCTGTAATAGTCAGTATCGCGAATAAAATATAGGTTTCTATTTTCCATAAATGTAAGTAATGCGAACAAAAGTTAGGTTTCAATTTCCTCTCACAGTGGGTAACGCGAATAAAAGTTAGGTTTCAATTTCATCTCAAAGTAAGTAACGCTAATAAAAGTTAGGTTTCAATTTCATCTCAAAGGCAGTTACGCAAATAAAAGTTAGGATTCTAATTTCTGTGAAAGGTTTCAATTTCGTCTCAGGTAACGCGAATAAATGTTAGTTTCTATTTTCTTTAAAAGTAAGTAACACGAATAAAAGTTTGGTTTCAATTTCCTCTCAAAGAGTTTAAAGCGAATAAAAGTAAGGTTTCAATTTCCTCTCAAAGTAGGTAACGTGAATAAAAGGTTTCTATTTTCTGTAAAAGTCAGTAATGCGAATAAAATATAGGTTTCTATTTTCTGTAAAAGTATGTAACGCGAATAAAAGTTAGGTTTCAATTTCCTCTCGAAGTAAGTAACACATATACGAGTTACTGGTTTCAATTTCCTCTCAAAGTAAGTAATGGAAATAAAAGAAAGGTTTCAATTTTCTCTTTTAGTAGGTAACGCGAATGAAAGCTAAGTTTCTATTTTCTATAGACGTAAGTTATTCAAATAAGATTTATGTTTCAAATTTCAACTTCCTCTAAAAGTAAGAAAAGTGGAAAAAATGTAGGTTAATATTTCCACTTAAAATAAGTATTGTGAAGGTTTTGTATAAATTTACTTTTTTCTTGTGAATGCTCTGCTTAAATATTTCATCATCAGCACACACCGCTATTTAAACACAGTATTCATAAGAAAACTAAATAGGTTTCAGTTTCCTCTCAAAGTAAGAAACGCGAATAAAAAGAAAGGTTTCAATTTTCTCT